ATATTTTTTTTTTTTTTTTTTTTTTTTTTGAGATTTTAATTGACAAGAATATCGAATGTGAATTAGACTTGTTAGAATATATGTATTTAACCAAAAAGTTAGATAGTTCGAATTTTCTGTCAAAATTTCTATAATAACTAAATTAAAAAAAATTTAAAATTACTAAATTGAAGTCAATGTTCCAAGCATGTATTGTTTAAATTATATATGAATAATTTATTTGATTAATATATTTAAAGGAATTCGGTCCAATATCTGAAGACAAGTTTTGTAGTCGCAGACGGCCCAAAAGTTGGAAAACTTATAAACAATGGAAAAGGGGCCCAAGTCTGGTTTTCTTAGTCATAGGCTTAGCTCCTAAAGGTTCCCTCCTTTTCACTGGACCTGTGGAGCCAAATCAACCCCCCAATCATCGGATTGCCACCATTTAGCACATTCAGCACAACAGTGTGCTATGGAGTGGGGCGTGCTCAATGAAGCAATCGCCATTGATCGGTATAAAAGCATCACAGGTCATATAAGCCGACACCCACACACCCGCAGAGTGGACTAGCAATTGCTAAGAGCATCAAATTAGCAGGCGAGGCCAAACTGTTGTGTCGGAAGGTAGCCGGGCATGTTGAATTTTTCCGATGAAGTTTGGTAGCATCTAAAAATACATTTTTGTAACCACATTTTCCATCTCATACAATCATATTCATAACAGTACGGAACAGGCCTCGAGTTTCACGGTGATAATGACGCTAGAACTAGTCCAGCAAGAGGAAGCACACATTGTCCAAAGATACAATAACATTTATAGTCTGTTTATTTCGTTCCCCGTTCCCCGTCCACGGGTGGTCAAAACAAGCAAAAGTACTGCCTGATGAAGAAACCAGATGCAAAAAAAATGTCGAAGGCAGCGACTTAGATAAACGACATGAAACACAGGCAAGGGGGCTGATCCACCCATGAATTCGGACTATAAAAGAGGTCAAACCCTAAGAATGCACATGGCTAAGAAGAAATTCCATCCGAAATACCCACACAGGCCAACGGCAGCCTCTTCATGAAGATGCTAAGGCTATAACAGACGCCATACTTCCCACACTATATGCAGATATCAGGACTTGGAAATTGGACTAGTTAATATAAGCTTGAAATTGGAGTAATATAAGCTTGTGTTCCCCTTTTTCATAATCTCAGGGCGGAGCTAGAACGAGGCAGTGCCTCGACACCGTATTAGAAATGGCATCCTCGTCTTGCTTTCTAACGACCTCGACCCTTCTCGCCTCTAGGTAAGAATGGTGCTGATGGAGCTGAGCATTCCCATGTCTACACCATTCATCATTAACAGTACGATTAAGATCCTAGATCCTTGCATAAAGATCCTCATCCAAGCTTCATCGACTATACTACAAGTACATCAAACAATGATAGTAAGGAGCCTTTAGCAGCACAAGTGATTTATTCTCTTTCCCTTCAACACTGAGGATTAAAACGGCAGCTGCCAAAAATAGAACCTGAAGGAAGCTGATTCTGACACACGAGCCTGAGATTAAAATAACAGGAACCATATACTTGAATGATTCTAGCTTCTTTTTTTTTTTTTTTTTTTTCTCCTTTTATTTAAAGCCAATTGAGCAAACTCACGTGTGTTCCAAGAATTAATTAGAAGACGGCCCACATTGCCACCCTAACCATGAAGAAAGAAGTCGTCTTCCTATTCCCTCCAATCCCGTTCCTCTTGACATTCCAGTGATGGCTTCCAGCAGCCTGAGCAGAGCAATTCCAAACTAAATGTTTCCACAAACTCGTTCTCATTAATGCATCGACCACACTGAATACACCGTGATATGCAAAGGGTGCATGCCCTACATGCCTGAGCAGCATATTCTTTTCCCTGACAACCATCCACTGGACAATCATAGACAAGCCTCAGGTTTTGGCATCTAGGACATTTTTCAATATCAATAGCACGTTCATCATCACAAGACAAATAAAAGTTTCCCCTGTGATAAAAATGTGGCTTATAAGAATTTTGCGGCTTAAGGCTGCAGCCACTTCCCAGTAAGAACTTCAACTCTTCAAAATGCTCTTGTGTCACCCCGAATAACCCACCAATTCTTAGAAGTTTCACTCCTTGGATACTCGTCAACTTGAAAGCCCTCAAGCTGCTAACAACACCTTCAATACTGAGTCTAGTACATCCCGGAACAGACAACTGCATAAACATGCAGGGAATTAGTAACATGCTCAGTTGGTAACCGATTAAGGAGAATAAACTGTTTATCCCAATGTAAATGGACCAAACGAATATAGCAATACCAAATACAACAAGACACATTCAGCTATAATTATGAAAGAGCCAAAACAGGAATAAGTTATACTTACTTTCGTAAGCCTAGGATTGCTTTCAAGCACTTGCTTCAGACCCTCGTCTGTAATTCTTGGGCATTCCACCAGACTCAAGCATTGCAGGTTACCTCGAGCTCTATTACTTAGTTGCAAAAGAATGTCATCAGTAATCTTCTCGTTCAATGGTTGTTCTATGTGAATGTTCCTCCATAAAAGGGGGTCGCCCTGTACTACTGAATGCAGAGAGTTGCAAACCCTTCCAACAGAGAGTAAATCCCGAACACCCAGATAACAAAGGGCAAAGCTTAAGCCTGCATGAGGGGCTCCTCCATCTACCTCCGAATAGATGCAACTCTGCTCCTCAGATTCTGCAGCCTGCTGCCCACAACAACTAGGAGGATCGTCATCAGCAAAAGATACTTCATCCATGCTACAAATGGATCTAAAATCACAAGAGCAGGACACATCTCCAGTTTCCTTTTCATCCAGAAACCCATCGCAGCTACACATCGGATCAGGTTTCTGAACAATACCTTTAATCTCAGGAAACGCTTGGAACTTCAAAGCGTTGTTCCAAAAAAAATTCAGACCTGCAAATAACTCGACATTCCTTTCGCCAGTACCGCCCCCGTCGCGAACACACTCAGCATAGTCCACTTCCATGTCCTCAAGCCATCCTGTAAGTGCTGTAAAAGTGGTACTAATATCCATGCCAAATGGATCCGCAGGCAGAATATCAAGAATGTCCTTGGAGACAGGATCCTGCGAGCTATCTGAACATATATCATTTCGATGATCAAAACAAGCATCCACCTCCCGGCCACGATGCCATGACTTTCCACAGCTTTCCACGTTGTTTTCAGGAATGCCCTCGACAATATAACCATTAGCAATCCTCATTGGAGAAACTATGTTGTCCTCGGAAAGGTGCAGAGGAAAGATAGGACGACGAGAAAAATTAAGAGCCATCAAAGATCCTACCTACTCCAACCTAAATCTATAATCCCAAATTCCTTACTCTCCTAAAAAACTACGAAAAAAAAAAGGTGAAATTCGTGACGAGAAGAAAAAGAAGAAAAATCACGAGGAATAATTACAAGAAACCCTCAATTTTGGATGGCAAACTAAAACAACGCACCAGAATCTTAGAGCTTCTTCCGGGAAAAAAGAAAAAAAAAAAGTTTCGTAGCTTAACAAAAAGGGGAAACACAAAAATCGATCATTAATCGCGCCAAAATTACCTACATAATACGAAACAACCACTATTTTTGTCTGCTCTGAAATTTTCTCAAACTAATTCTACAATATACCGTTCTCAGTTTTTCTATATTCACCTACAAAAACATAATCCGAAGTCTGCAGAGTCGAATATAAACCCACGGATACCAAGGGGAAAAAAAACAACAATAAACTTGAGCAGAAACGTCGAAGAAGAGAGTGGAGAAAGGAAAACCTGAGAATGACCGAGAGGAGTTAAAAATCAAAGTGATTTGTACAGCGATTTACAACGAAACCCTATGAAGCACATTGGAGTAATCAAGAAACAAAACAATGGATCTCTTGGAATCGAATCGTCGAAGCTGAAGCTTTTTTTTCCTCCGGAAAGGAATTTTACAGGGAATAAGAGAAGAACGATTATCTTTCCCGGGAAGAAATTCGACTCCAAGAGAGAGAGAAGGGAGAGTAAGGAACCTGCCGATCAAGCTCAGGGAGAGGAGAGAGAGAGAGAGCGAAACAGAAGGGAAGTGTGCGAGAAAAATAAAATAGAATTACTACCAAAAAAAAAAATAACACGGAGATAATTACAAATTAAAAACTAAAATAAATAAATCAGAGACGGAGGAACTCAAGAGTAACGGTGAATTGTCGAAATCAGAAGAGAAAATGACACGTGTTGGTTTAGTGCCAGTGATTGTGTTGTGGCGGGAGCGGGAATCTAATACGTTGCAGCTTTGATTTCAACGACGAAGCCTCTGGGTCTGTTTGATCTTGATCGGACGGGTGAGGTCGCTTTTGGCGGGTTATGTGGTCCCCGTGGATTTGATGGATTTTGAGTTGGATCAGTGGTTTGATCGGACGGTCGAAAGAGGATGACGAGTTCAAAAAGATAGTTTTGGATTACGACGGAATTCTCCAGCTGGATTTCCCGCTTCAAACTTGTGTTTGTTTGTCGTTTTCTTGCATAGTCGATAAGAACTATATTTGTCTTTTCTCATAAATTTAAGAATTTTAAGTTCATAAGATTGGGAATTAAATTTAATAAAATGTGGTTTTTCTTCTGAGAATTGTCTAGATTTTATGTCATAAATCTGTTAATACTGTATAATCTTTTTAATTAATTAAAATGGAATCCTATTCAATATCGCACCGGTTTTAAATGTAATTTTAATAACAACGTTTGTGTGTCAATAATATATATCAGCGCTTGTTTAAAATATAATATTCGTGTATTAGCGCTATCAATATTCATTTAAAATTCATATAAAATTTAACATTAATGTTTTGACAATATACTAATACCCACTTAAAATACATTTATATATAGTAGCATATTGATACTCGTTAAAAATAATATATCTTTCAATTATATGATACTCGTGTGTCAATATTAAACTTGAAATTAATCTACAATAAATATTAGATCCCACGGTTAGTTGGAGAGGGAAACGAAACATTTCATGAAAATGTTTCCTCATTGGACCCATTTAAAAACAGTGAAGTTGACAGCAATACGTAACGGACAAAAACAAATAATATCTGCTGATGATGAGTTTGGGTTATAACAAATGGTATCAGAGTCAGACACCGAACGATGTGCCAGCGACTAACGACGATACGTAACAAGTCAAAGCTAAGAACGATGGGCTGGAGCAATTGTAGTTTATCTATAAAACTTATATAAAAAAATTTTATCATATATTTTATTAATAGATTGCCCAATAAAAAATCGAGAAAAGATTGTACCATATTAGGTTCGAGAACAAAATTGGACGAAATGAAAATGGTAAAGCAAAGCTATATATTTTTTAAAATTGCGTCCTAAATAAATACAATAATTTAAATATATTAAGAAAAAAAAGAGAGGATATTTTTAGTACAGAAAATAAATAGGTTAAAGGGTTGAGAACTTTCCATCGTTGCATTAAGACAGACGATTAGTTGCCGTCCGACTCACCTAAAATGAGAGTAATATTGAATTATTAAATGGAAATTATAATTATGTGAATTAAATTTCGACATATCTTGAATTTTGGCAAGCTGTCTTTGCGCCTTGAGATACACAAAATTTCCCTCCATCGCAATTTCCGCTCGGCCAGTCAGAGAAGAGAAAGAAAATGAAAGAGATTGAAGGAAACAGTGAGAAAATGGACAAACGGAAGAGCAGAAGTCAGCTGCTAGTGTTCACGGGAGGCGCTGCTCTTCTCGCCGTCGCGGTGAACCTTGCAATTGTTGCCATCAGCAATCGGAAGAAGAAGAAAGGTACTTCGCACAGTTCCACTTCACTTTCGAGCTGTCCTACATTCCAGTGTTTGCTGTAACACGTTCCTGCACGTTATCGAGATGCATCTGGCATGTACAAGCAGTGTAGCTTGCTTCGGTAGCATTGTCGTACTGTTATGCTTATTTTTTTCATGATTAACAGAGCTTCCAGGATTTGAGCTACGCGTCAACCTTTCGGCATCCGAGATTCTGAATTTAGCAGACAGAATTATTGCGAAGTCGAAGAAGGTTCACGATGCTGTTGCTTCGGTTCCTCCTAACAAGGTGTCGACGATCTTGCTCTTTTACTGCTAACTTCTATATCCACTTGTACTCGCTTATTTATTTTTTTTTAATTTTTTTTTTTTTGGTTCATCCCTTCCGTTAAGACACGCATCTGCTACTAGGAACTGTTAATACAGCGATGGATGTGAACCGCTTAGTCGAATAATGTTCTTGATGCGGTTTTTGATACCTAGTTACGATTCAGCGAAATTCTGGACGCATTGTAAGCGGTTGATTCTCATGGAACTAGTTTTAGATATGCAACTAGCAGATGTCAGTATAAAGGCCGCCACATCGACGTGGAATTAGTCAATGAAAATTTGGAAGTAGAGATGTATGCGTAGTGTTCACATCACAAATCCTTATTTTCACCACAACCTGAATTTGCTTTCTGATATGTTCGTAGTTATTCGTTATAATACCTCAAATGAAGCCTGCAGGTTACATATTCGAATGTAATATCTCCACTGGCTGATTTGGAGGCTGAACAATTTCCACAAGTACAATCATGCGTGTTTCCGAAACTAATATCGACTTCAGATGATGTTCGCAAAGCAAGTGCTGAAGCAGAGTGGAGAATAGATGCTCATGTTCAGATGTGCAGGTATCACTAATTTCTATCTTTTATTGAAAGGTAACATTCGTTAGCTTTCGCAGATTATGCGGCAGGGTACCCTTGAAGGCTTAAACTGATTACACCTTGTTTCCCTCATTTGTTTATATGATTTACATGCACATCCATGTTTTGAAATGCAAGTTGTTTGCCATAAGGTGCAGGGGGAAAATGAAGTGAATTATGTATCTGGGTTCTTGACTAGTGCCATAGGAATAAATTTTGTAAAATTGAAGGCTTAGAAACATGTCCCTGCCAAACTATTTCTTCTTATTTTATTAGTCTGAGAACAAACTTCAGAGCACGATAGACTTGCATGCCTTTATCAGTTAAAGAACTCATCATTCTTTCTCTATTGGCTGGACAGCAAACGTGAAGATGTGTATCGTGTTGTCAAAGCCTTTTCTACTAGAGGGGAGCAGACAAGTGCTGAACAGAAGTGTTTTATCCAATGCTTGGTATGGATTCCTAGCAGGTTGCAATATCGAGAGATTTTTACCCTCTCCTTTCATGAGCATAGTGATGTGTACTTTCTCTTCAAATAGGAAAAATGACTACTGAATTCAACTGTGAAGATAATTGCATAAAATACAATGTATTCTATAATTGCCATGATGGCAATGCTCCAATTAATTTCCACATATGGTCAATTTCATGAACAACTGAAGTTGTTGTTCCTAAGAAAATAATAGACTGATCACAAGTGTATTGTATCTCCATTCTTTAAAAGAAACCTGATCAATTTCAAAAACAGCTCTATAAATTGTTTTTGAAAACTTTCCAAACATCTCCTTGCAAAAGAGGTAAGGAAATTGATTTTGTTGAGGCAGGATTATCGGATATTTCTTTTTGCATATGTCATTCCCAACTTCTCCCTCCCCCTGAAATTGGTTTTGATGATCCATGTCTTCACAATCTAATTGCAAGAATCTGAAACTGAAATATAGAGAAAATAACCTGCCTCAGTCAACTTTGGTTCTTTTTTATGATATTTTAACTTTACCTTGCTACAATTGCTTAAAACCTGTGGTGATTCTTTTCAATCAGTGACAGGTTAGAGACTTCGAGCGGAATGGCTTAAACCTTACTTCATCAAAGAGGAAGGAATTGCTGCGATTGGGGGTGCAAATTGAAGAGCTAAGCCTGCGATATATTCAGAATCTGAACGATGATGGTACATTCATACCTCTTAGTGAGGCTGAATTGGATGGTTTACCAAAAGAATTTTTTGAGGTTTGGATTCTTCCCATATTATGTATTTTAATTGTATCTTACGTTAATGCACTTGCACAAATTAGATACTGATCCACAAAAAAATCCTTCTTGTTAGCTTTCCTTTCTGGTGGCATTTTATCACCTTGATTTTTTGTTCTTATTCAGCTGTATATGTTTGAAAAGTCTTTTCCTCATCATAGCTTAAAATAATTTGATTATTCGTAATTATGTTTGAAGTCTTCTGGAATGTTGTACTTGTTGATCCGAGGGTGACAATCGTCGAAGCTAATTATATGCTTTATTATTCAACTAGCTTCATCAGGAACATTTCTGCTTAGTTGAGTGGTTATAAGCTAAGGTTTTAAATATTGACGTCGAAGAAAATGTAGATGTCTCAATTTTATGGAAATGTCGATAAAAATCGATAAAATGTTGATATTGATGGATATTTAGGAAAAAATCATTAAAAGTATTTAAATTAACAAATAATCATCTCACATTTTTTAAATAAGTTAAAATTTCTTATATTAATATTGGTCCATATCATGTTCACATTAGTGATTTTTTGTTGATATGTGTGTGTGTTTATGTATATATATTATGTATTTTGTCGATTTTCTTAATGATATAATGGAAATACTTACTCACCCTTTATGATGTCAAAATGAAGTGCATATAAGTTACAAATAAAGATTCCTGTAGATTAGTAGCGTAACCAAAATTTGAAGAATGTCTATTCACTCTGAGTTGTGGTGGGCCTATGATTTAACCTTTATTAATATGAAATCTACTTTGGAACTACTTTAATCTATTGGAAAAGATCTTTTTGATTGATCAATAAAATTGTTTCTTATTGGCAACTGGTTAAATGGTTAAAGGTTCGAAGTTCCCACCTCAATCTTGTTGAATTTTTAAAAAAAAAAACTTATCAATTTTTTTTATCGGTTTATTCCGGGAATGCACTCACTATCATCTCTTCCCCATGCAGAGTCTTGATAAAAATGAAAATGGTCAGTTTAAGGTGACCATGCGAAGCCATCACACTGCGGCAATATTAGAACATTGCAAGGTATGCTCTTCTGAACCAAAAGCTTTTTGTAATACTGTCCAACTATTTCAAATTTTGACTCAACCTGTTTATATCTT